GGTGCATGCATGTAATCTCTCAACTGCTACAGGAGGATCACAAGTTCAAGGGAAACCTGGATTCCATAGCATGTTTGAGTCCAGCCTGTGCTACAGAGTGATACCTGTCTTGGCTAGGCACAGGTGGCTCATGCCTATAATCCTAGTTACTCAAGAGGCAGAGATCAGGAGCATTGCAGGTTTTTTGGTTTTGTTTTTTTGTGGTACTGGGGTTTGAACTCAGGGCCTACACTTTGAGCCACTCCACCAGCCCTATTTTTGTGAAGGATTTTTCGAGATAGGGTCCTTTGAACTATTTGCCTGAGCTGGCTTCAAACCACGATCCTCCTGATCTCTACCTTCTGAGTAGCTGGGATTATAGGCGTGAGCCACTGGCACCTGGCATGCAAGCATCGCAGTTTGAAGTCACCTGGGCAAGTAGTTTGAGAGACCCTATCTTGAAAAAACCCTTCACAAATAAGGACTGGTGAAGTGGCTCGAGGTGTATTTTTTTTTTTTTCTTTTAGCAGTACTGGGGGATTGAACTCAGGGCCTTGAGCTTGCTAGGCAAGGTACTATACCACTTGAGCCACGCCAGCAGTCCTCAAGGTGTATTCATTATAAACTAGACTGAGCAGATTAGTAATAAGAAACAAACTTCAATGTATCGTTCTCTCTTTCCCTCTCATCTGAGTGCAGGTGGTGGGGTACTGGGGCTGTGGGGATGCAACCCAGGTCTTCACACATGCAAGCTTTCTACTGCTGAGCTACATACCCAGCCCCATCAATGTATCATGTGTCATTTATTCATTTAATCTTTTCTTTTTGGTGCTGGGGATTTAACTCAGGGCCTCTCACATGCTAGGCAGGAGCTCTACCACTGACCTACATCCCAGTGTCTATTCTGTCATTCTCTTAAATAGAAATGGTTCTAAACAAGCTTTCTCCCCCCCCCCCCCCGCCCTCCCCGCCCCAGGGTTTCCAGTGCAGGAGTTATGCATCACTACACCCCATAACTTTAGTGAAGTTTCTAAATTGCTGCATGATTTTTACCTCTCCAGCCTCAGTTTATCTACACAGTTTGAATTGTCTCTAATGTTCTCTTTAGTTCTATAATTTTTTTTTTAAGAGAATGCAGAGGCAGGGTGCTTGTGGCTCAGGCCTGTAATCCTAGCTACTCAGGAGGTACAGAGATCAGGAGGATCACAGTTTGAAACCAGCCTAGGCAAACAGTTTTCAAGACCTCATCTTGAAAAAAACCCAACATAAAAAAACCCAAAACAAACAAACAAAAAACCAGGGCTGGTGGAGTGGCTCAATGTATAGGTCCTGAGTTCAAACCCCAGTACCGCAAAAAAAACAAAAAAAAGAAAGAGAGAGAGAAAGCAGGTCTGATGTTGTAATAATATGAGAAAACTATACACAATGAATTATTACAAAATTCTATATCTGAGGTGGGAGGGTCAATCAAACACGGGAGTTCGAGACCAGCCTGGGGAACAAAGCAAGGTTCACCTAACAAAGCCCAACAGCCCCTTGTAGTGGGACACACCACTCAGGAGGCTAAAGTAGCAAGATGGCACGTTCCTTATATTAACCCCCGTCTCATATAAAACTGAAGGCTGGGATTACAGGTGTGTGCCACCATACCTGATTTAATGCAATTTTAAATAGTCAAAACTAAAACACTCAGTTCCTTAGTTTCTGAGCTACCTTTCAGCAGCATCTGGTAGTGTGAAAATAATTCTCTTGGTTGAAATCCAATTTGTCTGCTAGTCATTTCTGATTATTCTCTCCATCAAAACTTCTTGTCACCTAAGCCCTGAGCTACGATTGTCCAATCTCCAGCTGTAGGCTTTGAAACAGATGACCACAGCCAATAGACGTTACCAATCTAGTCTGTTCAAGGAAGCAAGGCTTCATGTGATCACATCCGTTTGATGTTTGGAGTTAATGCTATCTCTGTCACTTTCATGAGGTCTCACATCTCCCTGGGGTAAGATTTGGCTTTATTTATTAACTAATTTTCCAGAACACTGTACACAGACCTTCGACATTTGCTTAGCTTGCTCGGTGTAGTTGTGTGGCTTGATGAATGTCTCATACAGTGAAAATTCTGTCCATGGGGCTTGAGAAAAGTAACATCTCACCCATGTAGATACTCAGTACACCTAGCTCTCTCAGCCTGTTTCATTTCATCGAGGCAAATGTATGCATCACACAGGGTGCAGGTTGACTTGAAATACATAATTATGTCATAATATATCATGGCTGCTTTACTAAATACTGAACAATCAGTCTGGAAAAAAAAGAACGCTGATGCTATTTAAAAGCTGTAGTCATATATCATGTATCCAGGGCGGGGGCAGAAGGTCCAATCTGTGGTAGAACTGCAGGAGACGCTTAAGAATTGTCGGGCTGCCCGAGTGCATGGCTCATGGGAATGTAAAATGGTACAGCTGCTGGGGAAACAGTTCTCAAAAAGTTCCTCAGAAAGTTAAACCCTGACTTATCATATGATGCAGCAATTCTGCATCGGAAGCAGTAACACATGAGTGTCACTTACACATGACACTTACACATGAGTGTTTACAGCACGACTGTTCACAGCAGCCCAAAGGTAGAAATATCTGAAATGTTTAACAATGGAAGAATGGGTAATAAGAAAATACAGTAGGTACAAGCACATATAAAGAAATATTATTCAGCTTTAAAAAGGAATGACATTTGGATACATCCCACTGTCTTCACATGGATGAGCCTTGAAAACCTGTTAAGTGAAGTGAACCACACACAAAAGGATAAATTCCTGGTTTCCAAACCTGATTATATTGAATTATATTTCTACCTGTTTCCTGGTTGTTCAGTATTCTACAGAAAGGCTCTTAAGAGATAGTGTGGACTTAGTCTGTTTGCACTGGTGGACAGAATTCATGGGTTTTGCTCTAAGTGTTTAAGGAAGGTTTTGTCGTGTTTTTTGTTTGTTTTTACATTAATTTGTTAAAATTGTGGGGGTTGAGTACACGAGAGAGGTAATTTTAAGGTGGGAACGCAGGCTCAGGTCTGGTAGAGCACATGCTTAGCACATATGAGGCCCGGGTTCAATCCCCAGCACCATAAAAATGAAAATAAAAGTGGGAGAACCAAGCATGTTGGATTTCACTGTCCAACAAAGACAGCGTGCGTTCGTGGCAGACTTAGAGGCTAGGAAGCAAAGAGTGATGAAATGCAGGCCTTCCGGCCCTGCTCCATTCCTAATTTCTGGTTGTGGGACTCTGTTCTGAATCCATCTGCCAGTGGAAAACCCATTCTTGGCTCAGCAGCCAAGCAAGCCATCCTGCCAATCCTCCAAATGTACTGCTGAAACTTTGGCCGTTCGCAGCGGGAGCCAGGGCTGTCTTCCCAAGATCTGTGCAGCTGTCAAGGTGGCTGTGATGGGACTGTGACTGGCCTCTGCACAGCTTTTTTGGCAGTGATCTTGAGACCAGCCAGCTCACCGCTGCCAGATTATTTGGATGGAGATTTCTCTAAATCCTGACTTTGCTAGTGTCTGGCAGGTGTCAACTATGGTGCCAACTCTCCTAGTGCCTGCCACCTACTGGGCATGGGGGCAGTTCAGGTGTGTGTGTGGGAGATGGTGGTTTGTTCTGCTTCTGGCTCAGGTCCCGGTCCCAGGGAAGTGGGTGGCTCTGTCTGAGCGCCATGCTGGTGCGCAGACCGGGCTCCACGTGGGGACCGGCTTGGCAGCTCTAGGAAAAGATGCTCAGTGACAGTTGACATCTTGTGAGACAGCCAAAGTGCAAGTCAGAATCTGCCTTCTGGTAAGGCAGGGATTTCTTTGGGAAATGAAGGTCACCAGGAATGTGCACAGCAAGAGGAAGAAATTCTCTCTCTTTCTCTCTAGCCACTCAGAGTGGCAAGTGTATTTTGAAAACTCCACCCCCTCTCCTGTCCTCCTTCTGTCCTTTTCCTTTTAAGTGGCTTATTGTTGCTTCCTAATTCGCCTTTGTCACTGGACATTTATTGACAGAAATCAAATTGCTGTGTTTCTGGGCAATGCGCCTGCTGCAAAGAGGTGTGGCTGGGAGGAATGAGACACACAGCTCAACAGCTGAGCTTACTCTGTCCTCACGTAACCTCCCGCCTTAAATATCGCCAATATCGAGCCTTGCCTTATAAAGTAAAAATGCACAATACCTTCCAGAGTTTCAGCCAGCCCAGATGGCCCCCTAGGCTCCGTTATGTCTCCTGTAGGTTGGAGGCAGAGCGGCGCCCCCTCCCCCGCGCAGATCTGCCTGCCCTGGGAGCCACCCAGAGGTTACTAATCAGGGCGACGCCGCCATAGATCCCATGGTGGCGACCTGGGGGATTTGTGTGCATTGTTTTTGCGGAAGCCTCCTGTGATTTCGGCGCAACCAGATCCACTGCAGAGAACTCCATGTCGCAGCTTGTGGCTGCCTGTGTCCTGTGGTGAGAGCAGAGCCGCACAGGAGATCCTTTGTCTAGGAAGGGCTAGGCAGACAAGATCACTTTGGAGTTGCTAAACTCTGCATTGCCATTGGCTGCACTCTTTGTGGGGCTGTTTTTGCAAAAGGCATGCCCAGCACGTCTACAGTGCCGGCAGGCCAGGGCTGCCTTTAAACACCATGATAATCATACCAAAAGCAGTTTGCAGAACTGCTCAGGCAGAGGCTTCCTCTGCAGAAGCAAGCAAGATGGCTACCTCGTGGGCTTCGCCGTGAAGAATGCAGAGGCTAATTAAGACAGACTTTAAGGGGAAGAAAGGGTATTTCCCTACTTCATTTTTATGCAAGCTTTTTTTTTCAGTGACTTTTCAAGTGTACATTTTACATAAGCTCTTGAGGTTCTGTCTGGCAAACATGTTGATGATTTAAAATGGCACAAGGAGTTTGACAGGGAAATAGCCAAAAAAAAAAAAAAAATTGTGGGGGTGGTTGGGTAGGAGCTAAAATTTTTCTTAAATGGAGGCTTATTTTCCAATTTGATTTTTTTTTTTTTAGGTTATAAAAGAAAACAAGAGGCCCCAGAGGGAAAAGAAGCCAAAAGTTGTAAAGGTAATCAGATGTTGATTAAATGATTTAATTTTTGTTCCATTTCATAAAGCATTTTTCTGTCACTCGAGAGTAAATTTGCAGGGCAGTGGAGGTGGAGTCTCCCAGATGTCAGTAGATAAATGAAATATCACTCAACTAAAGTGTTTTATTCCCCCATCTCTTTTTTTTTTTTTTTTGATGGGCTGCGTAATGTGCATATTAGCACCGTTATTTTCAACTCCACACAAGTCTTGCAGAAGGAAAAGTTTATATGCAAAGTGTTATGAATAAAATTCATTTTTCTTTATAGTTCCCTTTGTAACATCTGCATTTGTGGTGTTGCACCAGTGTGAACTTAAGCTTTATAGGAGAGGTGCTATTTGAGGTTGACAGCTATGATCATTGTCATTTTAACAGACCTTCCAATATATACTATTTTAAAATGTGATTTTTTTCCCAAAGGAAAAAAGGTCCTTAGAGATTTTAGTTTAACTTAAAAGGTACTGTACAAGTCATTGAGATCTGACAGCCAAATTGAAATTGCTTAATCCCAGATGCTCATATCATCTTTAATTTCATAGAACTTTGGGAACATGCATGTTTTCTTTCATTCCTATAGACTGCCTGAGGAGTACTTAGCAGTAACCTAACTTGTATATAAGACAGCTGTGTGTTACAAGCTTTGTACAGTGTATAGAAGGGTTAACTTAAAAGCATAGAACATCACTAAAAGTTCAAGCTAGCCTTAGTGTAGCAAATAGGTGTTCATGGGTTTAAGATTTCCAGTGGTGTATTGGTATTATAAATGTAAGCAGTCTTTTTAATTCTAGCAGAAATATTAAGCAATGAAACTATTGGCCTGTAAAATTATATTGTGTATATTTAATTGAAAAATATTTTAACCTAATCATAGCTTCTCTTTTGCAAATAAAGTTTTAGCACTCAAACAGGAACAACATGTTGAACTGTGGTTTTGAATGTGGCAGATTTCATCTCATTTGTGCCCCTGCTTGCGTAACTTGAAAAATGTTCACCTGAGACCTAGCCCTCACTTTGCTTTCTAATTTGACTGACCACCTGGAGCTTCTGTTTCCTCAGTCTGCACAACACTCCCCATACATTTCCCCCCAATCAACAAGTATTTCCTTGATATTTACCACAGAGAGTGTGCTAGGCACTGGGAAATGAATGGACTTGCTTGATGCAAATTTTCAGAGGTCTGGACAGATAGAATAGTGGTCATCTTCAAGATGAGTGAGAGCATCTTCTGTATTTCTTCCTGTTGATCCCATCTACCTCCACATCCACCCCTCTCCACCCCCAACTCTTTAAGTGCTAGCATGAAAAGCCTTCCTTAGGTATCTTTCTATACTTTCTGTAATGGTATATCTATTTCAGGCATTAAATTCTTCAAGCGAGAAATAGTTTTAGCCTTGCTGTTATAAATGGCTCTTAAATTTGGGCAGGGGGAGTATAGAAGAAAGAGATAGACTACAGGCAGAAAAAACTAATAGAAACCAAGTCTTGGAGCTACATTGTTTCCCATCTTTGCTAGGAAATGGAATTGAGCTTCAGAGTACTGTTTAATTCTGTGTTTGTTTTGGTAGTGTGTGGGTGTCCCGTCACCTGAAATAAGTTTCAGAAGTAAATATACCGTTTGTGGCTTTTGGAAATCATGACAGTGGACCCTGACTTTTTTTTTTTTAAGTAAGTGCTTGTGGGTGGCCCAATTTCCTCTGTCCCTGCAGGTAGAACTGAATCCTTACTTACTTTCCCTTTATAGTTCTTGAGTAAGAGTAGAGAAATCTGGATGGCTAAGCTAGAAACTTGGCTTAAGCAGTGGAGCGCCTGTCTAGCAAGTGGGAAGCCCTGAGTTCAAATCCAAGTAACAGCAAAAAAAAAAAAAAAGATGAGGCTAATACTCTAAAAGGAAAAAATGGTGTTTGTTTTTGTAACTAGCATTTTCTGGTGGTACTGGGGTGTGAATTCAGGGCTTCACACTTTCTAGGTAGGTGCTCTACCACTTGAGCCACTCTGCCAGCCTGGTGTTTTTTAATTTCTCCTTTTTTTTTTTTTTTTCCCAGTACTGGGGATTGAATTCCAGGCCCTCACTTTGAGCCACTCCACCAGCCCTTTTTTGTGATTTTGTTGTTGTTGTTGTTGTTGTTTTGTTTTCTTTTTGAGATAGGGTCTCTTGGAACTATTTGAACTGCGATCCATCTGATCTCTGCCTCCTGAGTAGCTAGGATTACAGGCGTGAATCACCTGTGCCCAGCCTGGTGTTTGTTTTTGAAACAAGGTCTACCTAAGTAGCCCAAGCAGGCCAGGAATTCACTATGAAGTCCAGACTGGTCTTGAAGTTTCCAGCCTCCTCCCATAGTCTTTCAAATTCTGGGATTATAAACACTCACCACCAGGCCTGGCCAAAGCTGATGTTTTTTTTTTTTTGGATTAAAAAATTTATTTTAAACTGGGCACCGGTGGCTCATGCCTATAATCCTAGCTACTCAGGAGGCAGAGATCAGGATTGTGGTTCAAAGCTAATCCCAGGCAAATAGTTCCTGTGCCCCTATCTCAAAACTCCATCACAAAAAGGACTGGTGGAATGACTCAAGGTATAGTGCCTGAGGTTAGTCCTCAGTACTGCCAAAAAAATTTTTTTTAAATTTTGTTAGACATTCTTTACCTTTCCCAAAGAAAAGGTTGTTTTCTGCACAACAGAAATGCTAAAAATGAGGTGGGTGTTGGTGGCTCATGCCTTTAATCGTAGCTACTGAGGAGGCAGAGATCAGGAGGATCACAGTTCAAAACCAGCCCTGATAAATAAGTTCGTGAGACCCTGAGGTCAAGACCCAGTACTGCAAAAGAAAAAGAAAAAAAAAAAAAAGAAACAAACAAAATGCTGGAAATGTTCGGATTTTAATTTGAGACATGTAAAATTCAGATAAAGGAAATGTATCCGAAAGGAGTGTGTTTTGGGAGGAGGGATGAGAGAATAATACAGCTTTCAGCTTACTTTTTTTTTTTTCAGTACTGGGGTTTGAATTCAGGGCCTTATGCTTGCTGGAGAGGCTCTCTACCACTTGAGCCATTCTACTAGCCCACAGCTTAAGGTTTTTAATGACTTAAATGTTCTATATGCATTTGGCCTTGCAAATCTGGCCTGCTTTCTTAGTTGTTTGTTTTGGGGGCAGTCCTGGGGTTTGAACACAGGCCTTGCACATGCTAGATAGGGGCTCTACTACTTCAGTTTCTCTCTGCCCCTTAGATCTTCATGTAGCCTGTGGTCTTTGCTCTTTCCCAGGATGGATGTTGCAGGTACTGCAATCATTTTTCATCTTCATCCTTGATTAGGAAGTAGTTAGATGAAGAAGCTGGTGAAGGAAATTAGAATTTAAAGCTGATCGACTCCTCTTCTGAACCTGGTAACTACGGAGTCCAGCTGTGTTGCAGAAGTTGCTTTGTCTTCTTTCTAACTGCTGTGAGCTGGGGATGTAAGTCAGTGACAAAGGCTGTGCTTAGCATGTACAAGGCCTGAATACCTATCAATGCCAAAACTAAAATCAAATAAAAAGTAAAGCAACAAGCAATAATTCATTCTATTGTACTTCAAAATTTAAAACTGTAAGTAGCGATCTCCAGTTCCTTTCTAGAGACCCTTCCTCTAGCTGACATGACCATGTCTGTAGAAAGCACCCTAAGGGCTGGGGGTGGGTTGCCATCAGCTTCTCACTGAAGCCCATTGGTAACTTTAAGTTGTTTTCTTATACATATATGGCAACTTGGTTTGTTTTATTTTTGGCAGGACTGGGGTTTGAGCTCAGTGCTTCCTGCTTGCAAAACAGGCACTCTATCACTTGAGCCACACCTCCAGCCCATTTTTGCTCTGATTATTTTGGAGATGGGGGGGTCTCAGGAACTATTTGCCTGGGGTGGCCTCAAACCAAAATCCTCCTGATCTCAGCCTCCTAAGTTGTTAGGATTACAGGCGTGAGCCACTGGTGCTGGCAATATTGAAACTTGTTAGCTATATTAGATTCTTGTAGTCAAGACTACAAGAATCTAATATAAACTGGACTAGTTTTAGCCCAGGACTTATGAATTTGGGATGGTAAGTGACATGGTTTGGAATTTCTCCTGTAAGAAACATTTGTGTAAATAATCTCTACTTTGTGTATGTGGCTGGGGGGATGGGTTGGAGGGAATATTTCCTTAGAGAAGGTCAATTTTAAGGTAATAATTTGCTTATTGTCAGTCATTGTTCCTGGAGAAAATCAGACAGCACAATCGTGTAGAATTTCATTCAGGGATTTTATTTATTTATTTACAATAAAACTATCCAAGAGTGAATTTAACAAATGACAAGGTGATGAGTCAGTATGGATGACCAGCTCCTGGGCAATGGAAGAAACCAGGGATTATCTGTGAAGGTGTGGGAAGGATTAAGGACAAAACTCAGACAGCCAAGGATGTCAGCGTTTAGAAAAGCAGAGAGCTATCACCATGCCTAGGCCTAAAGAGGTAGGGAAGGGTGGTGGTGGGAACTCAGGTGAAGAGAGAGCAGAGGAAGCAGGGGCTTTTGCCTGGCCTTTTGTGGAGGGGATGCCTCTGCATGGAGGCTCTCTTGTGTGTGTGTGTGTGTGTGTGTGTGTGTGAGAAAGAGAGCGAGAGAGAGAAATACCCTGCCCACCAGTCTCTTGCTGCTTCTGGTGGTCTGTCCCAGTGGCAAGCCAGAAAGGAAAGGAGTTTTCTCATGAATACATACTGGTCTACCCTCCGGGGCATGTAATAATGTAGAACGTGGAGTGTGCACCTGGACGGGCAAACAGAACATAATGCAAAGCTGGGCATGGTGGTACGTGCCTATAATCCCCTCTCTTGAGGCAGAGCCTGGGAGGATCACAAGTTGAGATGGGCTACATGGCAAGACCCTGTCTCTAAAACAACAGCCAAACATGTGCCGCCCTATTCGATTCCACGGGCAGGATGATAGGATCAAAAGAGTATTAAAACCATGATCA